CATCGTCCGCCATGGTTGTGGTTTTTCTTGCCACTTCTGCGTAGAAAGACCCAGAATAGTGACCGTTGTCGGGTAGTAATGGCGTTCAGGTCCAATGATGGCGACCTGGCCGTTCAGACACACACCGCATTGAAAAGATCAGATTGGTTTCAGATTCAGCACCACAGAGCAAAGTGCCCTGAGTCGCATTGGAGAAAAAATCTGATCTATGTTGTTCTGACCGTCATTAAAAGATCAGATGCAGGTGGCATATGGGCCAAATAATCAGATCACTTCAGGTTGGAGTGGACGGAGCTAAAGCTTCTCCATGATCTGTAGATAGCGGTGATATTTATGGACTAGATCCCAGGATGTCTCTACATCAGCATCCTAACGTGGCCCTGGAGGGCCGCTGTCCTGCAGGTTTTACAGGTTTCCTCCCTAAGAACAGCAGATTTCCCTGATTAACAGACTATTGCTGAACTGCAACCATCAGAATCAGCTGTGCTGAAGCTGAGGAACCTCTGAAACCTGCAGGACAGCGGCCCTCAGGGACCCACTATGCCTGCTCTACAGGTTTGCACTCTATGGCAGGCCATTTTGACATTTATTAGATCAACTGAATATTTGATCCAGATGTCTGAAATGATGGGAAGCATTCTGCATTCACCAAAGAAGAACAAAAGCAGACAGTTTATCTCATAATTACATCAATATCTAATAATTATGAGCTCTTATCTGTGTTGAATGACGTCACTGTGATGTAAGATAAACCACATCTCTGTAATTTGATTGTTTCTGGTTATAATTCATAATGAATAGAGATCAGTGGAAGTGACGCGCCTCCAGCGTGAAGTCTGCGTGATGACGTCACCAGGTAGACAGCGGTGGGGGTCAGAGGTCACCAGGTTCCCTGCCAATGCCGTGACCACCACCTACAGAGGAGGGTTCCCACCCGGCGGGACCGGTTCGGTTCTGTGGGTCGGAACCGAACCGGTCCAGAAATGTCCCGATCTCTGAGGTCTCTCCCAGTGGATCCAGAACCACGATGGGCAGTATGTGGGCCAACCGAGCCTCAGACTGAGCAGAACCGGACCGGACCGGGTTCGGCTGGTTCTGGAGCAGCCGGGCTCACCTTAGTGAAGACCTCCAGGTCTTCGTCCTCGTCCAGGTCCAACATGTGTCCAGAAATGTCCGCCGGTACCGCGGTTCCGCTCATTCCACCGCCCGAACCCTTCAGTCTGAAGACCGGAGGCAAACTTTCCTCCAACTTCTGAGAGCGGAAGCTCAGCGGACACCGCCATGTCTGCCCGAACCACTTCCGCTTTTCAAAATAAAAGCCCGGCTGCCTGATCACCTTGGTTAATAACTGGCTGCTAATTCGGCCTTAAAGGAGACCAGAGACTCTGCTCAGTCACAGAAATACAAAACCAGAGCAAAATAACTAGGAACACAGATAACATCCTAAAAACTGTCCTCCAAATCAACGGTTATCAACCTTTGATTAAAAAAGTATAAAGGCCTTTCTTTAAGCCGACGCTTATGTTGCTCTAAGACAGTTTACTACAAATTATCAGCTCTACAGATTAAGTAAAACGTCAACCTTTGTCCCGATGAAGCTTAAATACACAAAAGAAATAAGGCTGAGATGAAAAAAAAACTTTGAATAGAGAGATTGCAGGATGTCAGGCAGCACAAGCCCCTTTGGGGCTTTTATTTGGGTAAATAACTGACGTACTTCCGGTATGAATGTCGTTTGCTTTTCCATAGTACAGATGCGGAAGAGTCACATGAGTCCACAGCACTGATCTGTGTTTATTCACTGGATTGATCAAAGCCTGTTGGTAGTAGAGTGAACCCAGGGCCGGATTTACAGCATGTGGGGCCCTAGGCAAAGACAGGCAGGGGG